GCTGGTATTTTGGCATGTTATTGTGAGAGTGTTATTGTGCTCATATTCTGTGAGGAGGTTAGTTTGCAAGAGTAACAGAAATTAACTTTTCCAATAAGTTTACATTGATTTTTACCTTTTATGTGCATTTTTACCTTTATAAGGCAGTTTTTTCTAAACCAATTAAATGTATGCATCCTCTTTTGTGACAAATTCTTACATTTAATCAGTCAATTCAAATAGTAAGACATAGGGCTACCAATCAAATGAAATCAGTATCAACAAAATTTGTTTGCAATGCAGAGGTTGCACAGAATCTGATGCATTTAGATGCATTCACACAGACTGTGTAATAATGCAGGACATGAATGCCGTTAACCTGCAGTTACAAATGCATAAATAATGTTTTGATGTTTTAAAAACAAAATGTACAATAGTGATATTTGAGGGGGGTGGGGGGTAATATACTTTAAATATAAACATAAAATCGCCAGTAGGTGGCGGCAAATCACTGCATGAGTGAGTCATTGAGTCATTCATTCAACCGATTCGTTCAAACAGCTTATTGATTCAGTAAGGAAACATAGTCGTGTGTTACTCAGAGCAAAACAGTTCTGCTGTGACTGTTTGAAGGGAGATTCTAGGATTTTAATTTTAGGGGGGCTCAGCCCCCAATGAGGGTATAATAATAAAGAAATAATAAATAAAATAAAATAATGTTTGACTAATAGGTTAGGGTGGTATACTAAACTTATTGCAGTATTCCACTGTATTGCATAAGTTAGATGGGTATAATATTTGAGTACTGAATAAGCCAAATACAAGTCTTCCTTATCACACACACGCACACGCACACACACACACCTGTTTATTGTACAAACACAAAATTGTACTGTTTGCATTTTTAAACAAACCTCTTTCTATGCTCAAGTAGGTCTGTCACTGTCTTCAGTCATTTCTGTGCATGACTGTATGGGAATTAATGCCACAATAACTGTAATATGTTTTATACTGAAAGTTCAATTTTCAAATGAAAATAGCAACATGATCGTTTGATGTGTTCATATGAGTTAAGGGTTAGGTTACATTTTCGCTGGAGGAAACAGCTGTGGTGTGATGAGGGGTGAACGGAGCGAAAACTTTACAGTATATGGGAAACCGATTGCTCCCCCATGACATTTTGTATGACAAAGAACTGCACAGATGCAGATATTATAACAATCTATCGATAAACACACACCTTGTCCTCTGTTTCTCGCTCACGCTGCCGCGGTCTGCGGATTGAAGAACGCGCTGAAAGACGGGGATGCGCCGAAGTCTGCCGGCGTTTTCATATGAAATTTAACGGGGACTGAGGCGATCACGACGAATTCGTGTACAGTTTATGGAGCTAATCGCAAAATTTTTAGGGGGGCTGAGTAGAAATTTTGAGGGGGCTAAAGCCCCCCTAAAAATGGCCTTGCGGCGCCCATGTTTGAAACTATTTTCGTTGTCGAAATAGAGCAAAAGCAGGAACTTGTCTATAAAATGTAAGTCAATTAATATTAACTTCTTGTTTATTGAACTTTTATAAAATCAATATCACATTTGCAATCGTACTGATATTTGGAGAAAAAAACTGTAGGCTAGCTACTCTTTGTGTGATATTATATCAGCTGATATAAATATAAAAGACTATATCAGCTGATATATATATATAAAAGACATAAAAGTCATACGTGTGCATATTTGCCCCCTTATATATATATATATATATATATATATACACACTCTCTCACAAACAGACACACACGTTTACTTAGCTATCTAAATGGGGACATTACATAGACTTCTATTGTTTTATATACAGATAGTTATACTGTGTATATGTACACATCACATTCATCTCAAAACGTTCTTAAACTTTTTTGTAGCCTACATTTTGTACTATTCCAGTAATATCATAATTTTGTGATATAGCAGTTCATTAAAAAGTGAACAATCAAACCACACTGGCCTACATTTAGACAAGAATAACTATCATGAAAACACATTTAACTAAAAATTGAAAGTTGACAAAGATCATGCATGATGTCACAAGTTACAATGTCAAGTTTTTAATGGTAGGCTATAAATGCATAGCTCAATGTACTAATTTCAGTACTAATACAGAAATATCAAACCGTTATTTTGTTCAGTATTACATTTTACAGTTTTCATTAATTGTTCTTTGCATTACTTCATAATTAAAACGGTTATGATGAAAAATGTTTACAATTCTTTACATTTATTTACAAGGCATGTTTAATGGCAGGTTTCCATTGTGACAACTGTGCACCAAGGACAACGTGTATTCAGTGAACTATAATGTCAATAAAGTACAAGTAGTAGAAGTAGTCAAAACGTGTGAAAACGAGTCACATTTCTGTTTAGTATTCATGATTATTTTATTAATTATCTTTTTAATTAGTTCTCTTATTTCAGTGTTATAACCTATACATTTAATGATGTTTTTTTAAAGCCAGTAGCCTATGTCTAGCCTTACATTGACTTGCAGCAGAGCGCTTGCCCAATATCTTCCCAAATGATCGCAGGCAGTTAATTAACATGAAAAAAGTTAGCTGACATTTCCTAGTCCGTGCATCTCAGACGTCCCCTGCAAAACACACCGAATGCCTGAGGACCGCCAAAGAAGAAAATACAGCCCTGACAAAATAAACAATCCACTACAGAGAAGTTTTGCTACGGGCTTTCTGTCTAATCTCACCGGTTTTGGTGTTGCATTTCCAGGCATCTCACTCCGGTAGTGAAGTGCGCTCGGGATTGGACCTTCGCTCGGAGGCGGGACAGAACGAACTCGCAGGTGAACTTCTTGAAGGTAGTTTGTGGAGACGCGGAAAGAGAAGTGTTTTTAAGAGTGTCGCGAGACACGTCACATTCTAACGGCCCTGCCCTCGTCCAACCTCCCGGCTCCCGCAATCTGCATACGGCTGAATGGAGAGCAGTGTACCGGTGTGAGACTGCACTGAGGAGGAGGAGGATGTGAAGAGAAAAAGAACCCCTTGTTCTGCATTCATGTGTAAAATTAAAATGACTTTTTGGGCAGAGTACAAATGATTTAACGACTTTTCAACGAGTCGACTTTTTAAGGGAATTTCTGTCTATGATTTTCTATTTTCAAATTGCCTTCAACTACCTAAAAGACTTTTTAAACAAAACCGTTTTGTATTATGAAAAATAAAATGACAATTCCTATCTATCTATCTGTCTATCTATCTATCTATCTATCTATCTATCTATCTATCTATCTATCTATCACAAGAAACTTTCAACTTGGAATCAAGTTTGCTCCTAAGCAGGGGCGGATTTAGTGATTTGGGGGCCCCAGGCAAAATACAGGAATGGGGCCATATACAATTTCACACATTTACAACCTTGAGGTTCCTTTCACTGTTGCTCGCTGCTGCACGACCGTGTCCCATAGTTGTGTCTAATCTTTTAGATTTTTCATGTACATGTTATAAATAAAGGATTTCTTTAATGTTGTAAATCCCTTGTTCACATTTAAACAGGTTATAATAGTATTAGAGTAGGT